CCTCTGCCCTGGCCTCGCCCTCTGCCAACGCCTTTTCTCCCTGACCTCCTGCAAAGACTTCCTCCTTGCCTGCCCGCCGGCCATGCTGTCGCGCCGCGCGGCCGAGGGGGCCGTCCTCGGGGACCACCCCCTCCGGACCATCAACAATCTCATCTCCGAAGCTGTCCAGTCCAAGGATCAGAGCATTTACAACTATGTGGGGCTGATCCCGGACTTCACCAACAGTCCCTTGGCCCCGCTCATTCAGGTGACCCTGGAGCGCTTCCGTGCTGCACGGGCCAACGCCGCGGCCGCTGGGCCCGGGTCGCCACAGCTCCCCACTCCCGGGGCGGCTGCCGCCCTGGTGGCGGTGGCCGCCCCGCCGGCTGGGGGGCCCTCTTCGGCTGGAGCCTCACCAGCTAATAGCTTTGGCCCGGGCGGCCCCAGCAGCCACGGTGCCTGGGGAGCATCCACCGACTCCGCCAGCGCCTTTTCCGGTTCCTTCCCAGCCGCCGGCGCGGTAACCCCCTCGCGCTCGTCCATTCCCGGCGGCCTGCCCTCGGGTTACCACTCGACCGGGTCCTTTGCCGCCACGACTCCCATTCCCGCCGGCAGCCGCCCCGCCATGTGGAGCCCTCAAACGCCGCTGGCCGATGCGGCCGCCGTCGCCACCATGGCCGCCATGGCTGCCCCTGCTGCTCCGCCGGCCGATCCACGCATCCGCTTCCCGGCCGGCATCCCCCCGATCGACATTCTGTCTACCATCTACCGGAAGATCTCCGAGTACGAGGACACCCGCCAGCGTCTGCGCGAGCTCTTCTACTTCCGCCGGCAGTTCTTCCCAGCCGAGGAGCGCCTCTACCAGGACTTCCTGGCCCAGCAGCCAGATGCGGTCAAGGGCTTTGTTGAGCGTGGTCTTGATCGGGTTCTGGCCGAGGAAGGCGACGCTGCCGATTACCATGATGCCGGTGCGTCGGGGTTTTTTCTCCCTCCCCCCCCCCCCCCCGCTGGCGGTGACGCTGGGACCGAGCGGACCAAGT